CCACATAGTGAGAGATTCGATTATGAAGGTGCAAATGAGTTGTGCACTGGCTATTAATACAAATTATGCTGAGACCAAATTATGTGCAGGCTACGAGTTTGTGAGTGTTATTGATACTAGAGCCTCGAGATACACTAAATCTGTATGACTTCTCAGTCTATCTACAATTGGCCATCATTGCATCAATGATAGCGGGCCTCGGCGGCATATGACTGCGCTGTTGATATGAGCCGCAGAAATAGTACACACTTCATCAAAGCCATTATCTTCTCAGTATTAGTATTGCAACAGGACGAAAGGTAAGTCATTCCAAGGGATGGATGCTGCGCCGACCGCAAAGGTAAATGCCATTTTTTCAGTGTTTGTTCACAATTTTCAGAAAAGGTCAAGTTTGGAAGATGGAAGTAGAAGTCAGTACAGGATGTTTCTGATTCATAGGTATTGCGCCAGGACACCGATAAGTTTGACGTGTGGGGTAAAGTAGATTACTCTTACTTGTTATGGCAGTTGTTTTCGGTCCACATTTTACTTGGCATTTTCTTCGATTTCTGCAAGATTGCTGAGTATGACTTTAGACTCTTCTCCATGAACGTTGCAAAGTATAGTGAAACTATATTTCTGACATTTCACTAGCGCCTCACTACTGTACTGTGAGGTACATGTGGCTGTGATTTGCGCCCCATGCAGGCAGCTGCAGCAGCCGCTAAGGCCACTGAAATCTGCGTCGCATCGATAGTCGATTACGTATTCAGCACTGTTTTCAAGCAATTTAGATTCTACTGCTATGATAATTTCCACATCACGGGACTCTACTACCACGTAGTTGGAATTAGCGGGAGGATATTGGCAACATCATGGCGTACCGGACACCACTGCCACAACTGCAAATAACCTTGTTTCTGCTTTTAAAAACAATTCTCTGCATCAAATCTCGTTGCGCATTCGACCGGGCCTTGACTTCCGGCAGGATGATTGTTCCTGTTTGGAAAGTGCAAACCTTCTGTTCATTACTGAATGGTTGGGTATTTGAATAATAAATTGGCAGTTACTGCACTAAGCTTTGTTTCTATAGGGTTCGCCAAT